AGTTTCTGTGTAGTGGATGTACCCCCCATCTACTGCAGCCCAAGCATGTGGGCTTGGGCCCACCACTGAGCCTGTGGCTTCTGATGGAAATATTCTTGTAGGAGTTTCTTTACTCATTTCAATGAAAAAGAACCAGGTTAGCAAAGATCTGCAGCTTAGACTGTCAAAACTAATCCAATGAATTGTGACTGCAGGGTCCAAACACATCCAGCCCCTCCGCCAGCACCTTCTCCAAGGCAATGGCCCTAAGCAGTGCTGCATCCAGAAAATCACTGCTGTCTCCTCCAGCCCAGCTCCAAGGCTGTCCTGCCACAAACTCTCAAGTAGTTGTCAACAGGACAGAAAGAGGATTACCTGCCTCAGGGCTGCCTGAATAATGTTTCAGCAAGGTGTCAAGCTTTAGATGTCATTGAACCCTCCTGATGTTTGAGAGGACAGATATTACAGGGCCACCATAAAGATGAATTCCAACTCCAGAAGAGCAAAAAGCTGGAACTGCACAATGTTGGCTGAGCCTGAATTGAGGGTCAGCAGCTTGGGGTCAGGGGGACGTCACAGGGGTTTGCAAGTAGTCTCTGGAACACCGCTGTTTGCAGATCATAGTACTCTGAGCCATTATATAATGCAGGTATTTTCCCCAAAAATTAACCCCACCTTGCCCTACTTTTAAGGTATTAGAGGAACAGTCAATTAAAGCTACAGAAAACTATCATAAAGTGGCAGCTGAAGTTTTGCTGTTGTTTTTTTTTTTTTTCCCCCCCATCAAATAAAACTTCTTGTGACAAGTGATCAGAACTCCATGAGGAATTCTCTTGCGGCAAGTTCCCCCAAGAAATCTTCCTCTAGGACTGTAGCATTCCGGGAGCAGGTTCTGCTGTTTGCTGCAATACATGTCGGGCACCTTTGGTTTGCTTCAAGGACAAGGACACACGGAGCAGAAGCCAATCTCAGCTGACACCCTGCAGCTCTCATCGCCAGCAAGGCTGCTAGACCCTGCGAGAGAGCGGGTGGGAAGCAGGTCTGCAGGATCAAGTCTGCAGCCACTCAGCATATAACCAGCTCCTCTTTATAAGGCAGAGAAAACCCAGCAAGCTCCTTCCTTACCTTTCACATACAGTTAAATATTGGGATAAGGAAACAAAAATCAAACATGGGAAGAGATCAGTTCATGCATCACGCGATGTGGATAGCTGCGTGTAACATCACCCGAGGCTGAACAGCCCTCAGTGCTCTTAACACAGGGTGATGCAATACACAATATTACTGTAGGTAAGCTGGGACAGGCTCCTGCGCCTGCATTTTCTGTATTGCTTTGCCCTTCTGGCTGACCGTTGTCCGGCAGATCAAGCACGATGCTTTAGTATTAACTTTCAAGGTCTTACACAGATTGTTCTTTAGGAGCTTGTTGAACTTTTGACACTGTACATCCATGTTACCCCACAAGATCAAAAAGAGGAGGCTTTTGGTCCAAGTGTAGTATTTGCTCAAGCTTGCTGTAATCCTGGGTTTACAGAGTGACCTTGCCAAGAGCCCCCTAAGTGCCCCAGAAATAACTCCTCATAAGACAGGCTTCAAAGATGCACCTGTTATCTAGGTCGTGTTTATAGGCCACTCCATCACTTAACATTTCTGGTGACCTTTGTGAAACTGCTTACAGACACAGAATTAATTTCTGAAATTTCTTTCAGTTCTCGGCCCCCTTTCCTATCTAAATGCCATGCTTGGGGCTGAAATTTGCCAGGCTTCTAGTGCTACACATCAGCAGATCAATCTTTGCAGCAGAAAGATGAAATCCCGGCTCCACTAAAAGTGATGGCAAGGTGCCTGCTGACTTCAGTGCAGCCAAAGTTTCACTTAGAAACAATATTCAGTGTTTGTTGAAGCTTTTTTTTTTTTTTTTAAATTACTCCAGTGCAAAGAAACACATGCTGTCCTAAATGACTACTCTGTGTACAGTTAGCTGTAACATTTCTGAATATTGTAAAACTAAAGTTGGGGTTTAAAGATATAATTGTCCCTGGAGGGATCCTCTGCATGCCCTCAACCACTCTGGGCAGGCTTTGCTGGTGCTTTCCTCCTCCCTCAGACACAGCATGCAGCTACACGGGATGCTACAGAGTTGCTCTAGATTTATGCTGAAAGGAAGATCAAACTGAGTATTCAATTACTTATGCACTCAAAGATATTTATTCCCCAAGATGAAACTCCTAAATCTGTTATTATTGCCATTCCCTCTTCTATTAGCATTAGCATGCTGCTGCTTTCAGATCTACGGAGATGTCAACACCATTTATCGGAAACAACAACTGAAAGATGAGAACATGACAGGGAAACGTTTAGAATTATTAATCATTTGCAAGAACAGAGGAGATAATTGATCTTCCTTAATTCTAGAAGAGTCTATAACCATTACACAGGAATTCTTCCTAAGACTTTTTTTCAAGTTCTGTTTCTTTCAGAGTTTGTTTGCTGTTTTTTTGGGGTTTGGTTTGTTTTTTTTTTTAAACCCAGATGCTACAGTGATTTAAAAACTGAGTGAGGGGAAGAGCAACAACCACCACACCACGGGACAGACTCCCAGAGAGAAAAGGTGATCTTGCTGCGATGAACACGGGTGTTTTTGAAAACACCAGGAAAGGTGGGACAGGACACCCCCTGACAGCACTGTGTTATTAGCCCAACGTCTGTGTAAAGGCAAACACAATGCTGAAAAGGAAAAGTCATCTTGCTTCACAGCATCTCATATTTTCCTGCTGGTGCTGACATCCTCCTGTTGTTATATGCGACATCTGGGAAAGTCAGGCGCTTGTACATGTGGCTGTAGTTTACAATGATAGCTCTGCGTCAATAAGATTTCATGAAAATCTGTATTTAAAGATGGGAAGATCAATGATGAAAAGCACAAGTTTTATACTCTAACGTCATCTTCTGCCATCAAGATCACTGACAGAAGTTTCCTTGCTGTGCTCTCCTCTGTATCTTTGTCCAGGTGTTGAACAGTCCTTCCTCAGTGGAAAATGAAAGCCAGAAATCTCAACCAGTCTGAGATTGTCTACTGCTCAGTTTCAGACATCCAACTTTCAGAGGACCCTGAACAGCCCCCACAGCCTAAATCTCTCTTCCGTCCCTTGCTCAGACTCTGTTAGCCCTTCTCAGCTCCTGACAGAAAACCACCAGAGCCAAACAGCAGCCAGAGGATACACATTCATTGTTTAAGGGGAAATAGGTGCTAAGTAGAGCTGCTGATTTAATAACCCTGGAAGTGAACCTTTCTGTCCATCCGCAGCAGAGACTGTAGCCCAAAGAGCCCAGTGAAGCCTCCACGCTGCCCGGCTGAACAACTCCAGCCACACCTGGAAAGGCTGTTTCTGCAATCAGGGAAGCAGCTCATCCCTCACACCCCTCCGGTCACGCACATCCTCAACCCCGAGCATGCCAGGCAGCGCCAGTGGGTTAGTGACATCAGTACCTGCCAGCTGGGAATGGGCTGAGACCAGCTCAGTGGCAGTAGGAGCCTTCAGTCTCCCTTGACAAGGGCTGCATTTGAATCGGTAAGTAAGAAGTTGCTTGTTGCTGTGCCAGTTTTCCAAGGCACGCAGACGTCTTGGGAACTGCATGCTCAATAACACTAGGCATGAGCTGTCAAAAGAGTAAAGAGTCACAGGTTGCCCACAGAGTCACAGGGATTGCTCAGGGCACTGACAGAATGATGTGTATCTCTGCCCCAGGTGCCAGATGAGCCTTACAGAAGTTTTCTTTCACCTTAATCCATCCCATATCAGATGCCAAAACAACTCTTTTTTTTTTTTTTATTGCCATCTAAAACCAGTTTCTAAAGCGCATGAGATGAGCGTGCACGACTTCGGCACACACACTGTACCCTGACATTTGTGGTGTGTGACCCGGGAAAGCTCCAAACTGCACCTGGCCTGAAGGTGAGGGGGTACTGAGAAGACCCCTCCATCTAGGACTTGTTTGTAATAGTCTTTCCCAAAGTCTGTGTCACTGATCTTGTTTGAGAAAGAATACAGGCTGAGGTAGATGTGTGTAAGTGTGGCTATTTTTATGTTCTCAAGTGTTAATCCTTTTATGTTTCACCATTGCAAAACAGGCTAAGAAGAACCAAGAGCCTGCTAAGAGCCCAGCAATAACCTCCAGCAGCTGCACCTCGCAGGCACCAGCAACCTAAAAGCAAGACGGTCCTCTACTAACCATTAACAGCAAGGTACACACCAGCTGCTCACATCAAAGTGGCAGACTGATACCTTGCATCGGTATCTGAGGCAAACATCCCCCTGAGAAAACCCACTTGGTGATTTCAGTATGAGGACAAGCAATACCTTCCCACAACCTTTGCACAGTGGCAGCTTTTGCAGCTATTGTGGTGCAAGTACTCAGCAAATGTTTCAGCTTGAAGTAACCAGTGGACACATTTGCCCTTTCAGATAGGTTCTGCAGAGAAGTCTAAAACATCATCCCTTAATAAATCACTTGCAGCAAGATTTTAGCAACCGAATTAGGTACTATTTAAATACGTATTTACATACTACCTCAAGATTTACATGCATGTATGCCATGCCTGTTCATCATCAAAACTTCAGGTTTTGAGTTTCATCATCTTCTCTACAGTCATGAGTGCAAGAAATACATTTTTTGTTTCAAAAAGAAAGCCAAGATATGAACAGAACAAAAGGTGCAATACTAAATATGCTGAAATAACTGTTCAAGACTCAAATAATTCCACACATAGCAAGATTTCTGATGAAATTATTTTATCAAAAATTATTTCATTTCAAGAGTTGGTGACATAATTTATGTTGCCAATAAAACACTCAGCAGCACTGGTTTTGTGTTTTGCCAACATACATCATCAGAAAACAAAGCCAAACTTTCAGTCAGAGTTTTCCAATAACTTTCTCAAAGAAATACATTCTCCCCTCCCTTTTTGGGGTAGAGAACACACTTCCTCTTTTCCAAAGATATGGTCTTGCTTCACTTACCTCCTCCGTAGGTGGTAGCACACATGATGGATGTTATCCAGGCTATCTGGCTGTAGGAAATGCTGTAAACAGCCTGGAGCTCTTTAAAGTAGATTGTGAAAGCCTTAGGAAAGGTATATGCAAACCCAACTGAGATGGAGGCTCCGAACACCACTGCCCATCCCCATCCACCATCAGGGGGTACATAGCCCAGGTCTGACCGGACTGAAGGAGACATGGTCCATCCAGATCTCCGAGCAAAAACCACTTCCCAGTATCCTGCAGAGCAAAGGATATGTGTATTTTTACAGAATATGCATACATGATTTTAAAGTGTAGTAAAATAATTTAGAGGTACAGAGAATCACCCACTCTTGAACGTTTGATGTTTTGCTGGTAACTAACAGTTGTATTGTTCAGTTTATCACAACCAAAACCACCCTTCCCTCTCCACTAACACTGTCCAGCCCTTCTACCTGTTTTTTAAATACTTACTTTCAAAATACTCCCATGGCTTCCATGTTCAGGGATGGACCCCATTCAGAACTGAAGATAATGCCTCCATTCTCTCTTCCACATCCAGCCGTAGCCCAGTGTCTCACCTCAGGAGATGGCTTCTGTAGGTTGCCCTGTCACAGTTGCTCAGTCTGCCCCTCCAGAGAGAAGTCAGTGCCACGGTTTTACCATTTTCAGAGTAACCACATGTGTATTTTCCAGATGTGGGTAGAAAACTTTATGATTTCATTATCCCTGCTTAAAAGAATAATTCCCATTACATGAGCAGCAGGTGATCAGCCCCACAGTCCATCCAGCTCCCCTGTTCTGCAGAGGGACGAGGCTTTCTTGGCCACTCGCTTCCTCCAAGCCAACAAACAAACTGCAAGTAACTGCTTGCAAAGTGACTGAAGTTTCTCCCTACTTAGGGGCAGCAACTCCTCTTGTGCCTGGCACATACCAGGTTAGCAGATTATGCTCAGGAACAACACAGATCAAAGAATGCATTCACTCATTTGCGTTCTTCCCATTTTCCCTGGCCATTAAAAGAAAATAAAAAGAAAAACAACTATAATCTACATGCCTCTCAGGAGTTAATCCTCTAGTCTCCTCTCAAGGTCAAGATATTAAACCAGAGGGGAAAGAAGTAGGTCCCACAGCAAAGGGTGCCAGGTAGGTGCACATGCATCTTTGTGGATAAAAGGTGATTTATTGCCTTTATATATTCCAAACTCAGAAGCAAATGAAGCTGATAGGAAAAGGCATCATCAGAGCTAATGGGAAGTAGCAGGCCCAGATAGCAGCTGGATGCATTTCGCTGAACGTCAGAGGTAGTAGTCAGCTAACCAGGGAGAGAGGGACCTTTGCTTGTCTTGGAAAAAAAATAAATAAATAAAACACCTTAGGAATAGTGTAATCTGCATCTATTTGAGAGTCCATTACCTCTTCAGAGATTCAAACAGTAAGTAGGAGAACACTACTGGAACAGTAGAGAAAAAAAAGTATTATTGCAAGCTATTGACGTACCTACAGATATACTCCTGAATTCATGCTTTCCTTCTACAGCTGTTAAGTGATAAAATTAATACGGGGCCCTTACACTACAGGCTTCAAGCTCCCCCTATGTCTGGACACTTGTTGCACACACGCTATCCCCTCTCCAACCTCGGCAGCTTGCTGGGGCACCCCCAGAACTGACAGCATTAAGAGGAGCTGAAAGACAGTTCAATAACACTGTATAAATATAATGAGATCTGGTTCGTAAACTCCCAAACTGCCATACGCATTTATTCCCTGGTCCTCCCGTGAAGACATTGTCCCAGAGCCTCCCACTTCTTGTTAATCACTTTCTAACTCCAGTTTATCCACTTCTATTTTATAATGGTTTTGTGGTGATAGTGTTATACAGCTCAGAGGCTTTCTTCCCTTCCCTGGTGTTATGCCCCGATGGTTTTACTGAGAACAATCATATCCCTTTTAGCCTTTACTTCACCTAGGTAAAGCAGCTGTATTTTCCCCCTCTCCCTAACAAGGACCATGGGAACAGAGAACCTACCTTCCTCTGGTTACCTGTGTCTACACTGCCCATCATTCTGGTGGCAGCTAAAGGTGGTCAAAAGGGAAACAGCCCCAGCCAAGGAGAATACCACATTGCTTTTGGATGACATTTCCAGATACATCAGGAAATACAGGGATGAGTTTAGGAAGCCCTCTGTGAAACACTCATCAGACCTCCACTGAAAGTTTTCAGTTCCCCCCAAAGATAATTTTTTTCCTATCATAACCTTTCTTCACTGCCTTTTTTATCTGAGGCTGTTCAGCTCCATTCACACTTTATTTAAGGGAATTTATGTTTGCCCATGGTCAGTGTTGCAAAGGCATCGCTGCTGGTCTTGGAGTCCCTCAAAGGGCTAGAAATTACACTGGAGAAGGATCACTACCCATCTGTCTCGTTCTCGCCTTCATCCCTCAGTATCCACTCCCAGTCACTGTGGGTGAGGAGGGCTTGTGGTCAGATCCAGTCTAACAGCATATAGAAATTGTACTGCACATGTGGCTGCAGGTTTTGCCCCACTGAGACCCACGTGAGCACACGTTACCATTTACAGCCCAGGATCCTCACTGGAAGATGAGAGGAAGCTCTGGAAGAAATCCTTTTGCCCTTCAAATTAAAGCCATTTTACTCCACTGCTTGTCTGAGATTATCACAGGTATGTCTGCACAGGCAAGTCCAAGCAGGCATGACTGCTGGTCACGTTTTGAGGTGGCCACGTGCCTGCAAGTGTGGGGCAGGAGCTGTGCAGGCACACGAGATGGGTGCTGTACTCGGGGTAGCACGCCTGTCTGGTGCGCACGGAAAGGGGCAGGTGAAGAAGCCCGTGTCGGTCTGTACCCTCACTCGAGAGCACTCTTTAAACGGGCCAAGAGCTGCTGCACTCCTCACGTCGTTGCTCCGAGGGCCGCCTGGCAAATGCACACATAAGAACTACTCAACTCTTGACATAAAGAAAAATCCCTACAGCCCTAGACCTCTGTCCAAAGCAGATGAGCAAAACCCAGTTGTAACTGGGGTTAGTTCAAAATGGTAATATTTAATAAACCCAGTCGTAAAGAACTCTAATTTCTACCTGGATAACATCCAGAGTGCCGAGTTGTTGGGTTTCTGAGATTCCATTGCTATATCAAGAGAAGACCAATTAAGAGGCCTTTTGCAAAACAAAATAATATTATTTTACATATTTTTACAATATATACATAAATATTTTACAACAAAATAATAATTAAGGTGTCCTGTTACACTATGAGGGATACTATGTTATGATTTCAGCAGCAAGGAATATCGTACTCGTCAAGTTTCTCCTTTTCTGATACTAAGAAATAAAATGGTCTGAGAAATTAATGGAAGGTTATTTTTCCATTACAGGCATCCAGAACATACGGAACTAGTTATTCTGATGCAGAATCTATTATCCCCCATCATCTAAGTTTTTCCATAGAACAAAATAATTGTCTTTTAGAATTATATTAACTATGCTTCATTACCGCAGGGTGGGATTTTAAAAGGAAACCCAAGCTAAAGAGTAATAGTGGTCATGTTGGAATGATTAAGAAGACATTTAAGAGCATTTATTACTTATCAAATACGCATTTCATTGCATTGTTTCTTTCATTTACTGTTATTATACCCAATTTAGGCCATTCAAATATTACAGATGATACCAAGCTCCCCAAAATATTGACATATCCTAGTGGTTCTGAAATGAGGCAAAATAAAATTAAGGGGTGAACACAGCGAGGACTTATTTCCTTATTTGACATTATGTTTGGTATTCACAACCTACCAAAGTTTAAGATATGCAAAAATTCTCAGGCCCCTTAAATGCAAATCTTTTTTGGCAGTCCTTTAAAAAGGTTGAGCCTGAACTTTAAATATATTTTCAGGGATTAACAAGAAAGGTTATTTTTTATTACCACCAATTCACACTGCTTGTAAAACTGTGACTAATTGCACACCACCTTTAAAAGTCTCACATTATTAATATATTTGTCCATTTAATTTCATTTTCTGTTTAACGGAAGATTTATTGAGAAGGCATTAGCATAATATCAGATTATGGTATCAGTTTCATTGCCCAGCTTTTCTTTATCAAGGCAAATTCTTACATAATACAGAAAACCAAAGAGAGGAACTGAAGTTAAATGAAAATGTAGTGTACACTAAAAAATAAAAATCACATCAGTTGACTCTTACATCCCTGACTGTAAAACAAGGCTTCCAGAGGCTGGCTTGGAAGAACCAAATTTTAGGAATTAGTTTAACAGAGTTTAATAGCTTGAGCAATGGACAGTATTGAGATACATTGACATTCTCCCCTTGCTTGCCCTGTGGCACCCCCACGGTCTGTGGGGACATCAGCACTAAGGAGGGCCCAGGACAGCTCTCCCACGCAGCATTACCTCTTCCATTACCACCCTCTTAGACAGGTCTTTGTCACCTTAAAGTTTCTCTGCACCAGCCCCCTATCTTCTACAGGTTGGTTCTTAATTTAATAGCAGCTCCTTCTCCAATATCCACTTCAAGGAAAATTTTTACATTTTGATTTTCCTTTTTAGTAACTGTCTCTAAGCTGTTTGATGTCCTTGGGGAAGCCCTTGTTTACTTATGTCAATGCCCATTTACTTCCAGGACCACACTTGCTTTTTCCACTCAATATTGTTCAGGCCCCGCACCACTGAAGTAGAATTACAGACCTATAATTTTCCAGGTCATATTTAAACAATTGGAGACATATTTCATTTGTTGTTCTCCAGTTGCACTGTGCATAGAATTTCATTTGTTAGCTCTTTGAGATCATCCCATCTCACCCTATCTTTGACAGGTTTTATCTTTGCTTTATGCTGAGAACATTGAAAGCCCCACCTCTTCGTTCACCTTTTATTGTAACAGAGGAAAATCATGAGTTACTTTTGCATAGGCACGGTCTGACTCAAACTCACCTGTAGACTCTCTTATTTCACCCGTTTCCTTTTTTATGAAGCTATACATGTCTGGACTTCCAATTTCTTTATCTACCATTCCCTATAGGTTTCCTGCTTTATTCCTGATACTTTTCTTTTTCCTTTTTTAGAGTTGGTTATTCATTGGGTCACATCTGGATCTTCTTTAGCCACTATTCTTCTCGCCTCTTTAGGAAAGTGGCTGAGGCTACTATCAACAGCTTAAAAAAGAAAGAAATTCCAGGTCTCGCACAATCAAGGCCCTTACGTCTCAATCCAGTCGATATTACCAACTTCTTTCCTTAATACATTGAATTTTTGTCTTTTGGAACCAACACGTATGATCACAGTCCTCTATTTCATAAGCCAAAACGACCAGGGACTATTCTTGAACTAGACACTTACTTTCTGCAACATTTGGTTTGTTTTATTGGTGGGTTTTTTGTTGTTAAATGAGAGCACACCATGAGAAGTCAAACCCAAGTCAAACACAGCTTCACCTACTGAGCCAGGGACTTTCTGGTGCCAAACTTCCCTCAACCCAAGCAAGCCACCACCCACCAGCCATACAGAGTGACTAACCGCCATCCAGTGGGACTGCGCTCCCCTCGGCAGAGGCGGGTACCACTCGGGCTCCCCTCCCTGTGGGACTCCAGTTGCTGGCTCCCCCAGCAGCAAACTGCTCAGCTTTTAAAGCCATGTGCTGAACTCCTCCCACCCCAGACACAGCTGAGATCAAAGGTTGAGATCAGAGGCTGTATCCTCAGATGCAAGACCTTCCTGTAAGGGGCCACACCCTCTGCACCCAACCCCTCAAGTTACATCCAAGGGCAACCATATCCCACATTAACTAACCCTCCATGAACATTGTCCCTTCACCCACCAGGGGCAAATTCAGGGCAAACTCTCCATTTGCAGTGATTGGAGTGCTGGCCTCTCTCAGATCTCTGTGGATGTTAATTAATTGTCAGATCTCTTACCCTTCCTCTCTCTCTTCCCTGTACATATTAACTTATTATTTCGTCATGACACATTTCTGCAGGCTCTGCTCACTCTCCTCACTGGGAATTTGCATACAGAGCCTCTATTTATACCCCATCTTGCTTTAACAATTTTAACTGTCTGGCTGAAATTCTCTGGCATGGCCTCCGGGTCACCTAAAATCCAACATTAGACTTATTGTGATCAGTCAGGAACAAATGAAGGGATTCACAGGACACAGCAACACTTATCGGGGGTGAATTTCACCCTGGAGTGAGGGGAGGGGGTACAGAAACTTCCCGAATTTCTTGCCAGTAACCAAGCAGTTGACTTGGACTAGTGAGAGAACAGTGTCCATAACACGAGTCCATGCTTTGCAGAGGTTTATATAACCCATTTTCAGTAGGAATGTTTCCACAAGACTTAGGTTGCAAATGCCCATTTGGGGGATTTAAAACATTCCCCTGCTGTGTTTATAATCCAGATGCTGCAACGCACTAAAGCACTAGAACAAACAGGAAAAAAAAGCTGACTGTAGGTGGGCCAGGGTAATGTTCTCATCCAATCTGAGTAGAAAACTCTGCAGAAAAGGTAAACAAAGAGAAAAATGATTCATCCAAGCTAACTTTGCAAGTCAGCATCTACTGTGGCCCATGTTTCCTGCCTTGTAGCCACATGCAGTCATCCATGCTATTTCATATTGCCCCAGAAAAAATATCTTCCTCGCAAGAACACAACAAATGCTTAAAACCACACACTAGCTTCCAGTTTACATTAATAAGAAACACTGCTACCAGCGCTACCACAGCCAGCTCAGATGCACTTCTCACAAGCACAGGACACACACCACACACATCTCCCATTTAGAAGATTTTTTTCTACCAGCCAACAGTCACAGCATGCTAGAAAGAGTCTCCAATGGCCAAAGGATAGCAAGATAAATTCTTGGGAGAAATCCACTGAGGGCTATTAAATACAAAGATGCTACTTCTGGCATTGCAGAGTGCAAACTGCTGGAAACTGGGGAGTATTGACAGTTAACTCTGTTCTTGTCTCTCCAGGTATCCACTATTAATTCACTGTCAGGGAGGTCATCAGAAGGTGCCTGTTGAAGAGGCTGCAGTCACACAGACCTAGAGTTCACAGGAGTCATTTCTTTCAACACTACACCTTTAGGAATAATGTTATTGTAAAAACTTAATGGCATTGCAGAAGGTGAAATTCCTTTAGACTTTTAGAATTAAGTAGCTGCTTCACTGCTGGCCTTTCTTCCAAAATTGTGCTTTCTTCTTTGTCTGCAGACACTTGATAGTTCCCTTGGCTCTGAGTCATTTCAGAATGGTGCTTTATCAAATCAAAACATGAATTTGCCCACGTTAAATTATATTGTCCCTCCTTCCACCTCTGTGTTAATAGCAATTGCCTAAGTTATAAAGGTTTTCTGCTGATAGTTATTGGGCTGTTACTATTTGTAAGCACTTCAGACACAATAGCAATTCAAACCATTGAGACTACTTTTCAAAATCAATTTGGAAAAACTTGGGTCACCTCCACCGGTGGTTGAGATGGACAAAAGCAGCAAAGCAGAAGCTCTCCTTTACTATTTCACTGGCCTATGAAACACTGAAATTTGAATGATACTCAGATGGCTGCTCTTAACACTTGCTCTCCAATACTAGTTGTGATGTAAAATGTGGTACATCTTTAAGAAAAACAAAATCCAAATTTGTAGACAAGTACTTCATTTATTGGCTGTGGGAAAAGATTAATTTGATATTCACCAAATATTCTTGTCCCTGAACTTCTCAGGCTGTTTGAAGAAATCTGTTACTGAAGGAATATGAACGGAATCAAACTGGAAGGGTAAAGTAATTCAAAATTTATCTACAAATATTTTTCTGTAGCTGATGCATCATATACCATCTTGACTTCAAATTAATGAAATTTGTAATTCAAGTTTACATATAATCAAATATATAATAAAATATAATAATCAAAATAATCTATAATAAAAGAATCAAAAGATTCTATAATAAAATATAATAATCAAAAGCTATATATGTATCATAAAATAATCAAAAGTTGGCACAAACTGAGCATACAGTTCATACTTCTCTACATTTGGATTGGACATCAGCTTTCTACAACAGAAAGCTGCAGAACAGAGGTCACATGCAGGTCTAAGAAGACACGGGAACACAGCATTCTTTTAAATTAATTTATTTGGTACTATTTTGGTTGATGTTTTACAGGTATGTTATCATTGCTAGTACTCATTGACACTTAAAAGATCTAAATAAGCACATACTGTCTTTTAACAGGTCAGGCTCCACACTTTAAAGAGAGTAACTGAGGCTGTCAGGGCACACAGCCTCCTGTTGTGGCTGCGGGGCCAGGCGAGGTCATGGCCCACAGCTGCAGGAAGCAGTAGGACATAGGAGCAACCTGTGACCTACTTTTACAGAATTGCATGCAGCAGTGGCCCTCCACGCTGGGAAGGCCTCACCATCACTCAGGTACTATAAAGAGTAGGACATCATGCTTTATCTATTTCTCTTTTGTTCCTCCTCAGGCAAATCTATGCCTTCTTTCCTCAAAGCTTATGACATGCAGAAAGTTGCCTAGCCCTGTTCAAAAACGGTCAAACCCAGACAAATGTTCACTAAGTGAGGGTTTTTAGCTTTTTTTTTCCTGAGGAAACACAGTGGGGTTTCATACATGTGCTCAATCATGCTCACTATCTGCCACCACACATACCTCAACTTCTGAGATGTGTCTGGTTTAAATCACATCTGCAGAGGGCCAAAGCTCTCAAAGATGTAAAGAGACTGTACAGGTTTTGTGTGCAGTTAGGTGGCTAAAAAGGAAGAAAGAGATCCCACTGTCACCTTCCCTTATGGGAAAGCTGCCAAACTCAACTTTTGTTATGCTTCAGAAAATCCACTATGGAGAGATACATTAGAAATCAGTTAGTTTTTGCTAACTTGTTAAACCATAGCTTGATCATATAAACTTAGCTAAAGTTAATAAATACCTGCCTCCTACAGTGGATATTTGCATTATTATTTATGTAAGGTACAGAAACACGTAAATCAGCAGTGCAGCATGCAGGACCTTAACTAAATGCTAAGAAAGGGGTGAGGTTCAAGATTTGCTGGTCTAGCTCTTCCCCCTTTGAGAGGCAGAGAGAGGAGGACACGTTGCAAAGAGATAAGGAGAAAGCAACAGCTGGATGGTTATTTCTCCATTTGTTGACTGCATGTGAGTGCCCAGATGACATGCAGCATACATGAGTGCAATTCTTCACAGCCTTGGGGTACGAAGAACCAGAGCATGTGTTCAGGAAAGTGGACTGCCATGGAGCAAACCTGGTGGATTATTTCATTTAAGTAATGCTACTTTATTTCGGGGGGTGGGGGTGCTTTTCCATTCCTCCAACAAATGCTTCCAAAATAACACGCCTTGCTTCCCAAAGGATGTCTGAAAGGAAAAACAACATGGCCAGAAAAGAATTCCACCCTTCCCCTGGACAGAAACAATCTCTCAAGCGCCCATCTATTTCTCTCTTCAAAAAAATACATCAGAATTTACTTTAGTGTCCAAAAAAGGAAAAATCACATTTGACACTTAGAGGCTATAATCATTTGCAAAACTGACCAAACTCTCCCTTAGTTAGCTGGGAGCCCTCCTAGTACCTGAATAGGTTAACTTGACCATGCGAAGTTCTCTCATCCGTTGACGTGCATTATTTCACATGATAATGCATGCCAAGCATTAAGATTTCACAATAGCTACTAGGAAATTTGGGGCACTAGGGGCCAATTCATTTATCTATTTTTTTGCCATGAGACCAAAAGAGAAATTAGGAAAAAAAAATACCAAAGAACATGGTCTAACTACTCCTATCCCAGTTCTGGCCCTGGTCCCTCTCCCTGGCTATTACAAACCTAGAGTGCTTTCTAGATATGACTTTGATGACTTAGATGAAAGTTTGCAGACATCCCCATAAACATCTTTTATAAGCCAGATAACAGCTACTACTAACTCATGGACACCCTGATTTTTTTTTTGAAGGAGCCATGAGCAGTGCAGCAAAGG